CAACCTGCACTTGCATATGAGCAATTGATGGTCTGTTTTTGCAGTCAGCCCCTGGCCTTATTCTGACTGATGAGACTGAGCTCTTCCACTGATCTCTTTCTACAGATGTAGTACATTTGATTCCTGTGTATTCAAGCGATTTAGGACCACATGTATAGTAGCCATCTATGTTGTTGAAGAAAACGTATTTGCAATGAACAACTGGTTAGTATTGCAAAATTCTATCACACAATCTCTGGGTGTTATTTCCATTACCAAGGCCATATTTTCCAACCACTAATCTTTCTTTGTTTCCAACTTTCACATTCTAATCATGAGTTATTATCAATATGTCTTGATCGTATGTCTGATCAATTCCAGACCACAAAGTTGATAAAAAATCTTCAATTTTTAGGCTATTTATATGATCCTGTGATTCCACTCCTAGGGACTCAAAAGAACTGAAAGCAGAGACTCAAATAGATACTTGTATGTCATTGCTCATTGCAGCACTATTCACAAAAACCAAGAGGTAAAAACAACCTAAACATCCAACAATGGATGAATGGATAAACACATTGTAGTTTATCCATATCGTTGTTGTTATTGCTGTTAGGTGCCCTTAAATCACCTCTTACTCATAGCAATACTATGTACAACAGAAAGAAACACTGCCCAAACCTGTGCCAGTCTCACAATCCTTGCTATACCTGAGCCCATTGTTGCAGCACCATGTCAGTCTATCTCGTTGAGGGCCTTCCCCTTTTTCATTGACCCTCCACCTTACCAGGCATGATATCCTTCTCCAGGGAATGGTTCCTTCTGACATCATGACCAAAATAGGTGAGACGAAGTCTGGCCATTCTCGCTTCCAAGGAGCATTCCAGCTGCACTTCTTCCAGGGCAGATTTGTTCAGTCTTCTGGCAGTCCATGGTGCTTTCAGTGTTCTTTGTGAGCACCACAACGCAGAAGCATCAATTCTACTTCAGTCTTCCTTATTCACTGTCCAGTTCTCACATGCATATGAGGCGATTGAAAATACCATGGCTTGGGTTAGGGGAGGCACTGAGACAATACAACATAGATGAACACCAAAAACACTGTTATATGAAAAAGCCAGACACAAAATGTCACATACTGTATGATTCCATTTATACGAAAAACCCAGAAAGCAAATTGGTGATTTCCAGTGGATGGTGGGAAGGCCAGAATGAGGAGTAATTACTTAATGGATACTGGGTTTCCTTTGGGGTGATGAAAATGTTTTGGAACTAGACAGAGGTGGTGATTATACAACCTTATAAATGTACAATGTCACTTTGAAATAGTTACTTTTGTTATGTAAATTTCACCTCAATTTAAAAACTGGGAAAGATAAAAATAAAACTCCATTCAGAGGGCAAGGTGGGAAAAACTGGGTAAAAGGTATTATAATTAAGCCCCACATGGTCAACAGAGAGTTACTAGAAACATGCTTTTCTCCAGAGTGGCTCTAGAGTCTAGCAGGAGGTAAAACATTTTGTGATGAGTCTAGGTTCCTAGGCTCCCTGACAATGCCTTGGAAGATATGCAGTATCTTCAAACTTTGAAAAGAATCTATCAGGCTGGAGCTATACTACTAGCTCTGTATTCTCCCAGTGCCTGCTGGAAGCCATGTTTATGTCAGATGTCCCTTGCTATTCAGGGCACTGTGAGCCCCAAAAGAAATACTGCTGAGGCAGCCTCAGAACCCACCTCCCCATTGTTCTAGGACTGCCAAGCCTAGCAGAAGATCACCTTAGTGACAGGAATGAAGAGGCTGTCCTCCAGGCCTGGGTTGAGTTCTGCTAAACCTCCACTCCATGATCTACCTAAGAAGCTAACATCATCAAAGCCCCAACCCTTTGTTGATAGCTCAAAACCACAGACTCCTCAAAAAGGTCTCCCTTTTTTCCACAGTCACTGGAAGCCAAAAAGTGATTTCCCACTTTCCATCCAGGAAAAGCCCAGTTCATTGTACTGAGATCAGGTACTCCTTGCCCCAGGGTGTATAAACAGGTTTTTTTGTTTGGGTTTGTTTTTTTGTTTGTTTGTTTTTTTTTTGCATTTCAGAGCCAAAACTTCTGTCTTGGAAGATTCAGTTCTTAAAAAGAGTAAGTGGTGATTTCTCCAGAGGGGAAAATGTGTTCATGTCAGTGCTTTGAGTAAAGTCAGGGACACCTACTCTTCTATAACCCCACATTCCTGCCAGCCAGTAGACTCCTTGAGACTAAGAGGGAATTTCTGTGGGCAGAAGCTGTGGGCAGATTCCTGTACCTGCCCCTCTTCCCACCCCCAAATCAAGTTCTTAAAGCTTGAAGAATCAGCTGCCTCCACTTCTGTGGATATGGGGTGAGATCCAAAGCTTGAACCTTGACAGCAGCCTGAGAAAGGCACCTCTGGAGCCCAGCCAGGGATGGAAGGCTAGACTGTGAAAAACCTATACTCAAATAAAGACCAAAACCAAACTCACTGCCGTCAAGTCAGATCTGACTCATAGCTATGCCTCCTTGGGTTTCTGAGGCAGTATCACTACGGAAGTAGATTGCCCAATCTTCCTTCCTAGGAGTGGCTGGTGGGGTTGAAACACCAGCCTTCTGGTTAGCAAATGCCTTAGGCACTACACCACCAGAGCTCCCAATACTCAAATAGAAGTGACCAATTTCAATTGAACAACAGCGCCTTCCCAATCAGGGATGAGGGGGCCCTAAAAATTGACCAGGACAGCTAGATGAGTGAAGGCTGAAACCAGATATATTTGATTTCAATAAATAAACAGATGTGACATATCCTGGCCTAGGGATAGTGTGGAGTAAACACAGACAATCATATCCAGCCAAAAACCTCATTGCATCCAAGGCTCCAGCCTCCCTTCTTAAGATCTCTCCCCTGTTCTCCCACACAGTGAGGCTGGGGTGTGGGGAGATAGTCTCACTAGGCACCTAGGTTCTAGCTGCAGCTCTGCCCCAACTAAAAAATCACTTTCTACAACTTGTTGTTGTTGTTGTTAAGTGCCGTCGAGTCGTTTCCGACTCATAGCGACCCCATGCACAGCAGAACGAAACAC